ATGCAGATATTTTTTTTAATTACAAGTGAATTAAAAATATGCATTTGTAACCAAGACAAATCCTTTAAAAAATTTCAGGTGGCTCTGTCATGAAAAATGAGTATTTCATAAAGATAGAATCTTTATTAAATACCCACATTATGTTAGAATTTTACTGAATTTCCAACCCAGTCAAAAGATATAAAGTAAGGACTACATTGGTTCAGTCATTTTCCTTGACTTGTCAAAGCTTGACACTGGGCGGTGCTGCCTTTTGTCAAACTTGTCAGTTCCACCAGCCATCACCAGTGATGGCTGTAGGGAAAAAAACACTTTCTATGGAGAATACCGCGGTCTGGTGGGATCCTCCATAGACCTCAATGCTTGGCTCTCTTGCATGTATGAGAATACACCACTGATTTTGGCTCCTGGCAGCTGAAGACACAGGAAATGAAAAGGAGTGGATGGAAGATAATGGTGACTACCATGAGGGGCAGCTTCAGGTAAGGATAACCTACCTTCCATGCTCCCATGGTCACCGGTACCCCAACGGAATGTCACCATCAGGGCATTTTGCTAATCATGCAAAGACCAGAGGCAGTGACAGAGCCGCTTTAATGCAAAAGGTTTAATATCCAAACAGTTAATATCTGCTTAACAGCTTTTATTCTTGTTGTTTTGGGGGAAATCAAAGTATGGCATTTTACATCGGTAAGAAAATAACATTTCCACAGCCATTTAATTGTGGATAAAACAATTTTAGCTGTTTTTAATTGTATTTTAGTATTTTTCACTGATTAGACCAGATGTATAAGTTCTCTCTTTTTTAATTCCCAACAACTGTCAGTAATTATTTTTATAGGTTTTATTAATGTGTTATATAGACCAGCCCAGAAAGCTCTAGTCTTTTGGATATTATGGTACTTGGAGGCTTTATGGTCTCTACAGACTGAGGGTGCAATAACTACACTTCTGCATTGATTCTGATTTCCTGTCAATTTGTTCAATCATCAGAAGCACAAATGGACTATTTGCATTTTGAATGAAAATTAACAAAAAAAACGTAATTGCTTGCTAGAGGAAATTAGTCCAGGCAATTCGTCAATTAATTCTCCTTTTATCTAATTACAAGAAGAATGCTACTGGTTCCCACCTTGTAATTAAATACCTGTTAAAGTGGAAGCACTGGGTACTGAGTGTGAGAGATGGGGTTGGGAGTTTAAATTAAATTGAGTGGACCAGGCCATATGTCCTCCAACCCACAGCAATAGCTGGGCTCTAAAACCCTGCTCTCTCACTTCTCCCATATGTTTTGACAACTCCCACGATATTCAGCCCTTCTGGCTAACAATCAAAGAGATTGCACATTATCTTAAATGGGAAAGTGGGGGTGAGCCAAGAATGATCCTTAGTTGTAGCTCCTATGCTGCTCAGCCAGCCCATCTGGTTAAACATCAATGGTGTTACATTTGTGCCCTAGCTGGGCACAAACTTCGGGCAAGGCTTATCACCATTTATGTGAGAAATACAACTCCATTCATGCACAGCCAGCAGTGTGGGCGAAGGATCATGTGAGTTGTTCTGTCACATTAAACAAACTTTCGCCAATCACAGAGCTCCGGCTCACCTTCCATTTTTAACCCCTTACTTGACAGCAATGTGTAAGAGGTTAAAAAAGTAACAAGTTTCCTTAATTTTATCTAAAAATTTATATTTGTAAATTAAGTTTGGAAGAACCAGATCAAAATTGTTATTGGTTTTGTCTTTAAAAAAAAATCCAAAAAAAAAATGTCTTTTTGTGTACAAGCATAACCCATTTAGGCATAACCCATTTAATTGTTAAAAGGACACTCCAGACAACTAAAGTACTTTATCAGAGTTATTCAATAGTGAGAATTCAAAATTTAAAGTGAATTACAAATTTGTAGTCCTAATAGCCAAACTGTAAAATAATCTCTGTCAGCTATGCCTTCAATACAGCTTATCTGACCTTAATCTTGAAAGTCACTTTGAATTCACTTTGAATTCTCACTTTTGTGAATAGTCTTTCCTCTTTTTTTTTCATTTTACAAAAAGTACAAATTTCAATAGCAATTGTCACATTTATAAAATAATCTTCTCACAAATTCAGGCCCAGTTACTTCCTGGTTTGGTTAGCTCATTGAGAAGCATTGGGAAGTCTGTGATTGGACAGCCACAGGAAGTCTAGGCGGGGTTAGAAGGGGAGGGCTTGTAAAGGCAGCAGGCGAGAGAACTACATCTTTTGCAAGCTGTTTTTTAGATATTCTTCCAATAAAAAAAAAAAAGTATAATTAAAAACACGCCTTTTGGGAGCATATCTACTAAACAATATTTTTTATTTATTTATTAGCATTTTGGACAAACTCATTTTTGCAACTCATTGACAAACACTCTAAGTCCAAAAGACACATCCTCAAGGTTATTTTTCACCAAATCACTCTTAGGTTTAAATTACAATCTTTATTAGACTTATCATATAGTATATAGAAATAATTCCCTCTACTCTAAACCCACAGTCAATGAGCAAAGTGCCATAATCAGGATATATTTTCTATGTAAGAATAACCTGTTACTTTGCAATGACTCCTGGAAATGTAAATCTCAGTGGAGCTTCTGCCGTCTAGCTAAATATGTCCACTTGTTCCTTCGTGGTCTTCTGTCTAGCTGTCTAGCTGTCTACTAACCAGATGTCTGGATGACTGCCCATCTAACCTTTTAACAATATCAACCTCCTGTCTAGTCGTCTCATGTTTGTCCAACTTCCGTCTCGTTGTCTGTCTGCATTCTCATTATCTATCAATTTATCATTCCAATTACTGTACAGCAGTTAGTTCTTTGTCCTCAACTCTCCCAATGTATTCATGTTTGGTAACATAACTTTTTTTTTTTTTTTATTATCATTTTACGATATTATATTTATAAGCACTGCAAAAGAACATAATTGCCCTATGACTAGTTCAGAAAAGAAAAGGATTAAGTTATATTTTCAATAAAACGAGTGTACGTTGGTGCTTGGCGTGTTTGTATAAAACAACTCTTTGTTCGATTTATTTGAAACGTTGCTTTGAAGCTCACAGCCTACTCTCTGGAAATACATTTATTCAGAGCAAGCAGTTGAAGGATGTTGTTCACTTTCTTTCTGTAAGAAGTAATCACTTTTCCAAACATGGCCCTGAGCAATGATGTATTAAGCAGAGGTACAGCAAAGGCGTGCACTTCACTCATGTGTCTGAAAAATTAATCAGTTGGAGGGAACACTGGGGATGTTGACTTCCTTACGCATTAGGAAACTTACAGTAGGTTAGAGTCAACTCACGGGTCACTTGAAAGATCATAACAGGAGATGATCAAGTTACTGGACTCAAGTCACTTAGCTCAGACAGACCTGCTATTATCACTAATTGTGTCATTATATTTTTTGTACTGGAAAAAAAAAAGCAAATCAGTGGTTCTGTTACTTTTTTTCTGCCTGTGTCTGAGCAACAGTGCAATAAAAATACACAAAGTGCTCTGATTTTGGAGACTTTAGGTTTTGCTCATTTTCATTTTAAAAGTTCCAACAATTCCAACTCAGGTTTTATTCTAATTTAGAGGTAGCGAACCTGTCTTTTTCCAGATGTTGGTGCAATTTGAAGTCCCATCATCGTTTGCAATTTGCACCCTGTGGCTGATGAAATGCCAAAAGAGGTGTCAATAAATTGAAATCCATTGCTCATTCTGACACAATCAAAGGTCATTTATCTGCAGATCTAATTAACATGTTTGAAGATTTGAAAAATGTGTGAAAGACATACATGTTAGTAGATGTATGCTATAAGAAGACCCATGTGGGGAGCGTTGGACTCTCTTTCATTACCCTCTTTTTTTAACAAGTAAATATTTTACGGTCTGTCCTTGAGGGTAGCAGAGGACGTATTCTTTTAGTCGCTTTTTTGAAATTTTTAAAAAAGGTTTTAGAACAACAAATAAATTATAAATACTGGGTTGAAATGTAATGAAAATTCCACAGCAATCAAAAATTACCATAAGGTAAGGGGATGAAGACCTTGGTTTAATTTGTTTGAATCGGCATCAGAAATTAACACAATCTGTTAGAAAGAAAAACCAACAATTTTTAAATGATTTTTCTACAAAAATGCCATAGACTTTAAGGACGATTTCTGTAGATAAATAATTTTAAAAGCTTTTCTTCTAACCGATTGGAATCATTTGTGATGCAAACAGATTAAATTAAGGCACTTAAGATTTTCTTTGTATCAGATTTGGCACTTTTGCACAAGCACCAGTGTACAATGACACACGGACAGATCTTAAAGAGGCAACAGTGACCTACCTTAAAGGGGTTACTCCAGATACACTGACAACTTGTTTGGATAAGAATAATATTAAAGTGGCACTGTCACTGTCTGGGGACTCTGTATAATTAGTAAATTAGGATGTTATGTTTATGAAAATACAAATTATGAAGGGTGTGGGTGCTTTAATATACTTGCATTACTGTTTAAAACAAATGTTGGAAAAAGCTTTCGGTGGCACTTCAAGGTTAATAGTTACAAAACATTTTGTTAACATTCCAAAATGCTTAAACAATTCCATATCTTTACAGAAATGTAGGAAACTAAGTATTTACTTTTCCCATTTGTTTTGATTTATTATGCAACACAGAATGAGTAGAAATTTGAGAAAAATAAACAGAAAGAATGTCTAAGGGCTGCGGGCTTGCAGGCGGGTTACCCTACCTGTCAAGGTAATCGATGTCTTATCGAAAGTTCAAATCAGCAGCTATTTGGGAGGCCATTATCAATGTCTATGTGTTTATCAAATCTACAGACCACCTCAAAGGATGACTTTTACTAACCTGCTACAAATCAGCCCACACCAAGTTACATACACTGAGTATAAAAAGGTGTGCAAACATTTACCCAGTTCAATCTTACAAGGCATTCCTCTAGTATTCAAAACTCTTATTATATATCTAAAAAAAAAATAATTTTCAGGTAATGTCATAGAAGAATACTCTCTCTCTCTCTCTCTCTCTCTCTCTCTCTCTCTCTATATATATATATATATATATATATATATATGTAGATATATAGATAAAGAGGGAGGGAGAGAGAGAGATTTACAAAACTGAAATAAAAACACAAGATCAAAGTAAAGTGATTTATAAAACCTACTTCAGGATCTCTAAAATGGCACTATGTACCCCTATTCCCGATTATATTTATTCCCCTGCTCTGTTATTGTAATTGTCTGCTCCTAGCAGCTGTTGCTCACGGAAATAACTATTTTTGACTTGGCAAATTAGAAGTCATGCAAGAAGTCTTGTTAAAAAGTCACCTTTCAACGTCATTAATTTCACTGTCATTGGGGAAAGGTCTGGCTGAGAATTTCCTTTTTTAACATTGTATTTGTTGCATGATTTAGTTTTGACCTGCTCTTGGCGAGGATACCTGTCAGTAACTAAAACGTCATTTCATTGGACTTCTTGTACAGTGCTGTGAATGGTGAAGCTAATATTAACCAATGTCAGGAAAAAAATAATCACGTTTTTTTCTTTAGAATTTGTTACCGGTAACCAAGGTTTGATTGATGCCACAAATTACCTGTGTGGTTGCAATATTTGTTCCATCGGTGACTTCTATACTCATGTTGTAAGCTGACCGAAGTTCTGCATCAAGAGGTTTTGCTATGATGATGGTCCCTACACCTTTCTCAATGTCAAATGTGCTATCTGCATTGCCACCTAAAAAAAAAAAGAAAAATATTAGTGATCATTTATTTGTCTATGTAATAACTCAATGTATTAACCATCTTTAGGCATGATCATATATGTATTATTAGAAAAGATAAAACACAACAATTTTTAAAGAGATTACTACAATTAAAACAGTAATGCATGTTGCATTTTGTAGCTGTATATAACAAAATCTAGATTTCTCATCTCATTGAAGTGGTCTGATTGCAATGCCCCAATCTGTTTAACCATGCGATGTAAAACAAAGTAATTTCTGAGAAACTTACAGAGTTTTATTCTATTAAAAAACATTTTACTCCATTAAATGCCATTTTACGACCTGACCCTTCTATTTTCCCCATAGGAAAGAATTGATTCAACGCTTTCCTATGGGGAAGTTTTAATGCGCATGCATGAACATTAGGTCCCATCATGGGACGTCATGGGAAGAGGAAGCTTAGTAAGTGCCAAGAGAGCCTCATTGCTGGTAAAAAAAGAAAAAGTAAATTAAAATTATTATTAAAGAAATGTTTATGATGGACAGAAGTGAGGACTTTAGGAAAGTTAGGGAAAGGGACACGGAATATGCTATAGTGTTTCTTTAAATCTGTATTAAATCTGTAAATAAAAATATAATTTTTTTCTAAATTTTATCAAGATACAGCACATATCCTGAATTCCAACACTCATATGGCTACAAGACCCTTAAAACAGACTTTCATAGTGGTGGGCACGTGATATGGGTGGTATGCTAAATGCTTCCATAGTTATACATATTGAGTGCATTTGTAGCTCTGATAGCATAACATGAAACAGTGCTTAACCCCTTAAGGACACATGAAATGTGTGACATGTCATGATTCCCCTTTATTCCAGAAGTTTGGTCCTTAAGGGGTTAAACCCACAACTGCCTCATGCTAGAACAAGCCCTAAGTATTACTTCATTTATTAGAATCCGTTTTGTCTGAGATATCTTTGTTTTGCTTTGATATAATGTTAGTATATTATTTTGAGCACTGTGCATTATCTTTTATTTACAGTAGCTGTAAGTCCAGTGATGCGGATAGAAAATATGGGAGTAGACAAAATATTTTCATTTTTTTGCACTGCTATTTAAAGAGATAGTAAGGAAAATATTTATAAAAGATACTGTTTGGCTGTGCTTCAACTAAATGTGAAAAAGACATATTGCACATTACACATGTAAACCTTAGCATGTGCAACCTGTCCAGATGAGACTGTATTAATTGTGTATGTACCTCTGATCTGTTGAATAAAATATTATTACAATTAAACTGTGAATATGTCTGTTGTATTCGTAAAACCTCTGAAAAGAGAGAGGTCTGTAATCATGTGAGGTTTTTATCAAAGCATATTTAAGCCAGATCATATTAATTCTAGGCTGTGGCTGTACGACCCAAGGAGGGTCTACTGGCAGTTGTTGCAGCAAAGGATGTTTTTTTTAGAGGTTTATCTGTTTTATATTCTAAATACTGTTGTGGGAAAAAAAATCTAAATTATCTTATAATGGCAAGTTACAACACTTAGTTAAAATATTGTCCACAAGGAATAGCCTAATCAAATTTGCTATTTTCCAAACATTACCTCACTGACTATTGATATGATGTCTATATTATTTAATTTGTGCAGGTCCAATAAGTTCCAATTTCCAGTTGGTTTTACTAGAAGTTGACTCATGCAGTAGTTTGTCAGTATTCCCGGAACCCTGGTTCTCCTGGCTACAATGCTCGTCTCAGTTAATAATAGAGTAATTAAATCACCCATAATTAAAATGGAGCCCGACTGTGCAGCTTTGTCCATTTGCAGTACTAAACATCATGTTTTATTCTAAAAAATGCCATTTGGTTTCTAACATTTTCCCATCCATATTCCTTGTTAAGTTTAATTCTTCTTTGATTCTTCTTTTTTTTGTTTTAATGATCAATGTCCACGCACGAGGACACAGTTCTTGATATTCTATTCACTGACGTTGATTGATTCACTCTCTAAGCCTACTTGTAACTTTAGTAGAACCGACTTGAATTTCAAAAACTCAAATTCTAAATAATTGTGTATTTCTTTCCTCTTTTTATTTAAACATTGTATGCTGTTTCTCAAGTCCCCACAACTTGCTGTGTTTTATTGGGTATTGTACATGCTAAAATTCCCATGGAATACCCAATAAAAGAAACCTTCTTACACCCTTACAAACAGTGACTTACTTTTTATATTTGACACTTTTAATACTGACTCTTGATGTTTATCTTCCTTGAGATTTTGGCCTGCATGTGGGTGGTGGGAGTTTGAAGTCACCTCCCTTTAATTTCATGCATCCTCGACCATGCGACCAAGGAGCAGTAACAGGCAGCCATTATACAGATTCATCACTGCTCCATCACAAATACTCAACCTTTTGCAGTTGAGCGGGGAACTAACGGCAGTAGGACTCATAAGCTTGGGCCACACTTGGCTGTACTATAAAAAATGCTGTATTAAAAAAATATATATGCTTTACAAAAGGTTGATATCCAGGGGCCCCAAATGCACTCCTGGATAGTACATTTTTATAATCTTTTTTTAACAAATATGTAGCAAAAAATGAAACAAGATATATATACTCTACTATTAGATCTTTCACCCCTCACTCACTGAGATATTAGCCAACTTCTAGCAGCTAAGTTAATGCAAAAATATTTCTGCCTGGGTAGAGGTTGCTATGGTAACACTCCACAAATCCTGTCAAGTATAACATTGATAAGTGTTTTGTTACATTATTTTGGACAAAGAGTTAAATACTAAAACAGCAAAATAGCCTCAATTAATGTGAAGGTTAATTGATCCAGGCATACCATATGTGTGCATGCGCCACGTACAGTTTGATTTTGCGGGAGAATATTTTAGCATCTTGTGTAATTTGCATTATATCACATCAATATTAAACTAAACAATACATAGAAATAAATGAAACAAATATTCTAAATAACGAATATTTTGTGCCATACTTCAAGAAATGAAAACCAATTATCATCTAAAGAATAAAACTTCAAGTATACCAGGCACAACAATAAACTCAACATTGATAAAACATATTAGTTTTGACAGAATGATACAAGTCTTATATGCTCTAAAGATGTTTGAAGAAGACAAAAATATGCTTCACTCTTTTTATTTCATTGGTTTATTTTTATTGTTCTATTATTTTTGTGCCACAATATGCAATTGTCCCAAAAATATTACATTAAAGAGATGCCAAATTGCATTACTTTATATATCTTATGATATGCCGACAGCCGGAAAAACTAGATAAATCTATAAAACTCTATGATAACCACAAACAACCTTGTATTAAAGATTTTAAAAGATTATTTTGTTCCAAGGCACTGATCTCCGACAATTATATATAATTTGATGTGTGTACTGCATCGCATTTATTTACATTGTACTTGTGGCATTTCGTGCACATTACTAAATTAAAGCTAAAAATTAAGGGGATTTAAATGAAGTCAGAAAGTTTGTGAACATCAAATCTTAAAGGAACACTACAGGCACACAGACCACTTTGTCTCTGAAGCATAAATATGTATACGTCAAAGGGACTGGGTGGAGTGTCCCTGCCCCCCTTAGTCCTGCAATGTAAAACATTGCAGTTTTTAAGAAACTGCAATGTTCATATTGCAACACAAAGACAGCCTCTAGGGACTGTCTACAAGACAGCCACTAGAGGCGCTTTCTGGAGTTTACCGGACTATGGGTCAACTATATGATGCTGGATGCCCTCACGCTCTGCTCTAGCATCTATCAGTCTAGTCTGCACCTTTCTAAATGTGTGTGTGTGTGTATGTGTATCAAATTTATTTATTTTTAATATTTTTTTATATTCTCGTGATTTTATGGAGGTTATTTGAGTATGTCACCTTGATGCCTGCACCATTCTTCAGAAGAGTGCTAGCTTACAATTGTATCTTGTGTGTATGTATAGTAAACTTGCGCAAAAATTTGTATTAACTCAATATATATTTCCTTTTGATGACACAGTGACTTAATGCACAGTGTAATCAAAAGTATAAATCTTCCATTCATTCAGCAAACATGTTCATCTCACAGCTGTCATATGTGCAAGATGGTCATAATTGCCACTGAAAACATAATTGTCCTTGACATTTAATTTACGTTGTAGAGATACCAAGGAAGCTACAAACGGCTGTTAGATTACATGCTTTCTAAATTTTATGCTAAAAAAGACATGGCATCTTCCAATTAACATTTTAATTGATTTGCTTGGGAAATGTTGCAAAAAATAATAAAAAATTGACTGTAAAATCGTTTGAAGAACTGAGTTGGAAGGAAAGTCTTTAATTGAAAGCCTTGGGAGAGTATTTTTTTTTTTTCAAAGAGA